TCGCATGCAAAACACTCAAGAGGTCAGTTATTCGCACTTTGTGCGGCTGCCAAATTCGTTTTGGTTGCTCACAAGAAGTGTAAATCTACGACACCATTAACACCTACGTTCAAGGATTTGTAACTGCTGATTTAGCCTTAGCATCCTCAACTTTATTTGTGCAGCTTGCTTCGGTGGGTTTTTAATATAAAAACCCACACATAGTGCCTACTTATGTTGTTTAAGTAGCTTGACGTACATTATTAACATTTTCAGGGGCTTCTTTGATTGGACGGTGTGAGTAGTTTGGCGTACAGCCAACACGCTTATGGCTCCAAATATTTTTTCATGCGAAGTTGGTGGTTTTGCAGGAGTTTGAAGCCGCTCTTAGTCTTATCAGTGACCATTCCCTTTGTTTCGAAAGTTTGCACTCCTAATTTTCGGTTTCCGTAGCATTAGTGGAAAACTCTCACATGCTACCGTTGGCAGCCATCCTGTCGCAGAGATGGCAGTCACGCCTTCGTAGATTTGTTTGCACGTCATCGAAGTGCTCGGAGCCTTAGTAATTTGTCCAACTGGGGCTACCAGACCACGCTGGCTGCCTTCTACATGATGACTGTAAGTATACCTGCCCTCTTTTAGGTTTTTCAATTGTGCTTTTGCAAATAAAACAAAATATTTCATTTATTATGACCACACTAAGCTGAGGGACGTTTTTTAATGATGATTGGTAAGTTATAATTAAAATCTTGCCACAACAAATCATAATGTCAACTAATTATAAATGATTTGCTAGCTAAGACAATTGATCATATATTAAAAAGTCCAGGATGTTTAGTGCGCGAGTCACTTCGAACTGCCTCGGATTCAACATTTAAAATATAAGTAACTTTCCGCATCCCATTCAAAAGATGTGACAAAAATCGAACTATCTTAATAAAATACACAGCCTCGATATAGCACCAAAACAGTTTGACGGATTCAATTAACAGCTGACCTGGGGAGTCTTATAGATTAGTAATTGGTCATTCGGATCTCAGGTCAGTTACTTGACTCTCTCCTTCAAATATACGTGCAGCACCTAGAACGTGTTATCGTGTGATTGGTTTTATGCTGCGTGAGTTTCTGTACTGTGAGTTTTCACTTAATGACAACATGTTAATGGTGCAAATGTAGTTGGGACTATTTCCACCCACTTTGTGAGATAGATTTTTCAATTCCTATACGTTTCAGACGTCAACCAACCTTTACCTCCAGAGGTGATTGGGAGGCAATCGTTAAGGGTAACTTGGATATTAAAAACGAACTTTTTATTATGCCTAACAGTTCGGTTTTCTGAAGTAGACGGGGTTTGAGTTGGTAAAACTTTTTTCCTTCGGCTATAACTTCTCAGGAAATTTCTGCACTCAATTCGTCTACTCGGTTGAAAATTCCAATGAGAAGTCTTGTTTCATATTCACGAAAACCACTGTTAAAAAATTACTCATCTGCTTCACTGTAAACTTCTGCTGTTCAAGAGAGAATAGAGTTCCCTTGAACTGCAGTTGGTTTGCAGTAGGCAGAGGAAATTTTAAATGAAATCTGAGCTGAAACAAAGCACTGAAAAGGAACTGCTAAAAGAAACCAAGTCGCATGAAATGTCACTTTCAGTAGGCGATGGATCATTCTCAGTCAACTTATGACGAATCGTGATCTTGGAGACGCAATGGGGCTCTTTCTTTCCGTCTGCATCCACCCCTCAACCATTCCAACAGAATATGACACCTTCTCCTCTGGAAAACCAGGATCTATCTCTAATCGGGGTCTGAGTGTCCTCCGTTCTCGCAAAAGTTTTGCATATTTAGCTTTGCTTAAATCCCTCCGCGAACGCCGTCTCAGCTGTCTTCGTGGAATCGGACTCGGCAGGCTACCTTTTATCCGAATGAGCTGCGATGATGACGCACTGGTCGAGATTCTATCCTTCCTACCTCCTCTTCGGTAGACACCTTGGGTTCCTAGGGTTGTCGTGGTCTCCCCAGACGTCACGGTTGATGGCGAACTACAAACCAGCTGGCCATCCACGGAGGAATTATCTAGCTGACGATTGACCGCTGGCTGTAAGGTTCTCGACGAAGAAGGGTTTTGGTCAGAATTAGAATAAGGCAGACCCTCATCGGCCATATCCAGCCAGATCTCGGGAGTTTGCATGTCCCCAACTGCCCTTAGCACCTGCTCAGCCTGAACCTGAACATCAGACCTGGAGACTGTGCTCTGTTCATCATCACTGAGCTCCATGCAAAGGAGCTTTTGAAGGAAGGATTTTCGTCTCGTTCTTCTTCCAACTG